CGGGGGTGGGGGGCGCGCAAGGACGGCGCGCCAGCACTCCCCAGCCTCTCCTGCGCCCCTCTCACTGCCCTTGCTCTCCCCCCAGCGACGGGAGGAGGGACCCCCCCGAAAAAGAGAAGGGCATCTTTCTCCTCCCAGAGGTTACAAGCCTCTTCATGTCTTCCCCCCAATTTCCCTGCGCTTAACAAACACCCCCCCCCCCCCCCGCCAGCAGCAAGAGATACCTGGAATGGGAGGGGGGAACCTGAGCCCCTCATCCGCTGGAAGGCCCCCTCCCTTCTCCAAAACAAGGAACAAGCAGCCCTGATAAGACAACTGAGGAATCCGAACACATCCCCCAAATTGGAACAAGCCTGCGTTCTCCCTCCCCCACGGGAAAAAGGCACAGGAGGAAAGGGAATTGGGGCAGTGGCTATCGGATTCCCCCAGGCTAGACAAACGCGAGTGCCCCGCACCGCCCACCCTCCCCAAAGGCAGCGGGAGCCTGGGCCTGGGGGATTGGGACCCGGTTCTCTGGAAGAGCAGGGCAGCGTGGCTGTCCCCGGCCATTCTCCTCGCCTGGGACAGAGGATCGCGTGGCTGGGGAGGGGGCTTGCTTCTCCCCTCCTGCCGGACACCCCTCCTCCGGCCCCCCCCCCGTGCTTTGCGGGCTCTGCCTCACCTCAGTCCGCGACTGCTCGCCCGGGGGCTCATTCTTCCAGAACATGGGGGGCACGAGGAAGGAGCTCCCCTCAGCAGCCGCGGCCACCCAGACGTGACTCACCCGCCGCTGCCACTGCCGCGCGCAGCTGCTGGAGAGGACTTGACTTTTTCCTCTTTTTCCCCCTTTTGCCTGGGACGTTCCCCCCCTTCCCCGCCGCCCTCAAGTTCCTCCTTCCTTGCTTGCAGCTAAACAGGGCGGGGAGGAAGGAGAGGCCAGGCGTGCGCAAGGCGATAGGCAGGCCCCGTCTCCTTCCACAGACGCACCATCTCCCCTGCACCTTCGTGACAGAGACGCAACCAGAAGGCAGAGCGAGCCCCTGAGGGCGCGCAGAGTTCAGAGCAGGCCCGGGTCTCAGGCTATCAGCACAGAGGGACACCTTCCAGGCAGAACCACCTGGTCCAGGAACAAACCCGCCTGCTTCCCGTGAACAAGCTTGGGAGTCTTCCATTCACATGTGACGCTTTTGACCAACAAATTGGCCGGCTATGTGCACACAACCAGCCCATGATTTATGTTCCGCCTGCCCTTTGGGCTGGAGTCTCCCTTTGCTTCCACCTTGGAGGCTCTGAGGCTGCTGCAACGCCCACCGGTGTGCAGGGATGGCGCTTGCAACGTACCCCGAAGCACCCAGGCGGCTCCAGAGGGGCCTCGGCCTGGCTTGCCGCCACCTGGCTGCCTCACCTTGGTGCCCCAGCTCCAGGGAGCCTGGCAGAGGGGGAACGCGGGCCTTTCCCCTTCCTGTCTCTTGCCTCCCTCTTGGCAGCGGCTGCGGTGGGAGGCCACGGGGTAACTCGATCGCCTTGAGGATGCAAGGGCCTGGCCGCGGCTTCTCCCTGAAGTCAGTCCAGGGGAAGCAAGTCCAGGGGAGAGGAAGGAAGGCCAGGCTCAGGTCCGGGGCTGGGGTGGATAATCACCCTGATTGGGACTGACAGCCAAATTGGGCAGGGAAAGAAGGGGAAGTTGTTTCAGGGGCAACCTGAAAGCTGCTGCTGTTGTGCCAAAATGCATTAGGAACCGAAGGGAAACTGACCCGCCAGCCTGCGAGGGCTGCCTCTCCACAGGGCAAATGAGCCTGGGCAGAGATTGAATGCCCATCTAGTCCAATGCCAACCTTCCTGGCCAGTCGCAAGGCTTTAAGCTCAGCCAAGGACTTTCTCAGGCCGCCTTCCTATCTCACGCTAGCAGAGTTTGAATCCAGAAGCATCCATTTATCAACAGAACAGTCCCTGCTGTTTTGGGGGGCCAAAGATGGTCATAGAAGAGTATTAAAATATGTTCCTTGCAGAAAGGGAAACGTGGAAGGTGGATCGGTCTACGAATTACAGTTCCCAAACTCTTCCAGCACGTCTTCTGAAAGGCTGCAAAAGGTTTTGGACTGAGGGGTCGAGGCTTTGCTCCTCCTCTCATCGGCTGCCTAATCTCGCTTTCCTTTCTTCTCTACCTAACCAGAAATTCCCTCAGCAGCTCACAAACCACGTAATCAGGAGTGCATCTTCTTTAATTACTTGCACATTGTAGCGTCTCTTTGAGGACAAGGAGCGTCTTCCCCATCTCCATCTGCCTCCTCGCCACCATCCCTCCAAGGCTGGTTACACAGAGAGCCCACGGCTGGTCTAAGATCTCCCAGTGAGCTTCATTTGCATCTGGCTCCTCCTAATGTCGACTTCTTAGCTCCTTCTCCACTCCAATTCTCCTGGTGCTCCTCCCCATTTGTAATTACACAAAATTTTAAAAATTCACCCAAATGCTGGGGGCCGATTGACCAGCTTTGAAGGCAGAGGACTTGGCCTCTCATGACAAATGACGAAAGTTCAACAAGGTGCACTTTTAAAATTGGGATAAAAGTTTATTCCTGTGGTGCCACTTTTTTTTTTTAAAAAAAGAATGGATACATATACGGCCAGATGTGTTCAATGCAGCTGTTACTCACAGACAAACATGACCAACTTCATTGCCCCCTTTCAGGGTTTCCCAGGTTTCAAGATGCAAGAAACTCCGACTTTCTGTTGCTGGAAAGGTCAGGCAATTCAAACCATGTTTTACTATCGGTCAGAGATATATTCTAGGCAGACCGTCAGCTCACCAGAACTCTTTGTTATCTCCAGGTCAGAACAAATACCGAAGAAGTGAAAACACTCACACTTAAACACACTCAACTCACACACCTTAAACTCTGGAGCTAGATCTAGCCACACAGGAAAAAAAAAATCTGGTTTTACTACGAAACCAGTTGAGTTTGTTGGAGAAGTTCTGTACAGATTTAGGGGTGGTATTACAGTAGATTTCCTCTGAAGAGCGTTCGCTTCCACGTGCGCAAACGGAGGAATCAAGACAGTCCCACAAAAGGCCAGGATGGGACACGCTCCAGTCCTTGCTTCCTCCGAGCTGACCTTCCACCTGCAGCGCATGCCGGAGGACGGCGCTGACTGCACCACCGCATCATCTCTTGGACTTCCAGGCAGCTCTGGAGTAGGGGGCAGTCCGTTTTTTCTCGGGGGGCTTGAAGTAGGCGTAAGGGGCTGCTGGCGGGAACTCGGCATCAGGATTCTCTGACATCATTTTCAGCTTGGTCTCAATGGCTTTGATCTTTGTACTGACGCTGTAGAGTGAACAACAGAGGCGCCTGAAACTTCATCCTGTCTGCAGCCCAGATTTAGAGTCAGAAGCCAATGCATGCAGGAGCTCCCCCCACCAGCCACCCCTGGGTTCAAGCAACACCTTTCTCTAGGTCCCCTTCTTTCACTGCAATCCCACATGCTCGCTTGGCTGTGAATCCCACATGCTTACTCCTCAGGAATTGCATTCAATGCTGCAGATCGAGGCTGTCAGGACACTGGGAGAGTCCTTGGCTGATTGCTCGCTCCTCCGGAGGACCCACCTGTATCTGTCCCTGGCCTCTTGTCATAGCTAGGCGATAACATGCTTGTTCAAGGTTTTGAGATTAGCGAGTAGGGGCTCTCATGCGTTTTGTGCTACTTGACATTTGGTGAACATCGGCTGTACTGTCTTTTTTTCCCCATTCTCTATAGATAGGTTCTTTTTAGATAACTCAGTGATTGCTAACCTCCTCGTGAAGAATCATTTGTTGAAAGGCAGCTAAATATTGCCAAGAAACCAATAAAATAAAATTAGTCCTAATGGGAGCTTGCAAGCTCCAAATCAGCTTGTTTGATGTCAGGTTCACCTCTGACCATAGCGCCAGGTAAAATCTGGAAACTGAAACCCGGGGTCCGTTTCCTATTTAGCCACAAAGCCTGCAGCCTCTTCATCTACCCCTAACCTTGCATGGTTGATTTAAGAGTGAATGGAGAGAAACTCAAGGAGCTGCCCAGGGCACATGCCAACGGACTGGGATGTCATTCATAAGCCTGGGCACAAAGAGTCATCTCAAGCTGCAAGATGGATTTCTTTTCTCCTGTGATGGATCATGCCCCAGCGGGTTAAACTGCTTTTGAGAATTTTTTCAATTTCAGAAGTGATTGGCTGCATGGCTAAGAAGCACCATTTGGGAAACCCAAGTTTCTAAATTTATCCTAATGCTAGGACTCATCTGTCCCCCACTCCGCAGAAAAACAAACCTCTCTCACTTCGTTTCACTGTAGTAAATTAACGTGTGTAATTCGTTCACGGGTGATGTTCTGTAGCCAAGACGGTTTGAGAAGGGACTTGCATGAACTCAGATACCTTATCAACGGAGAGTCACCCTCTCTTCTTCAGAAACTATCTATCTCCGTATTCCAGTTAACAAGGAGCAAGCATGGGAGAAAGCTCTTTAAACTGTGGGAAACCAGATGCTGGGCTGGGTCCCCTCCCCACAATTAGAAGTAGATCTTACCTCAGGTTGGACTGGGGGGTCTCTGTGCTCGAAGATGGCTCCAGACTGATGGGAAGAATCTTCTCGTTCTTATTCTGATCATACCTCTGGAAGGGAGGGGGCAGAAAGAGCAGAAATTACTCCCCGACTAAAGCAAGAGGGCCTTTGTGCCCCTTCCAAAGTTGCCATTTTTAATACAGATAGAAGAGGAACATAATTAAGTACGTGGGAGGTCAAGTAATATTGGTTAAACACATTAAAGCAAATGTCATCCCGGTTGGTTTTGCCATGGCTCTGCCCGTGTGGCTGGCTGGTCTGGTTTTTGGAACTGGCCCGTGAAGACGGCGGTGGACCTGAAAGTAGCTGTGCAGCCCAACCCACTGCGCAAAGACGTGAAGGACGTCAGCCTGTTGGGGGCACAAAGCAGGAGCAGGCTTACCTTGACCTGGGCATGGGCCCACCGCACTACCAGCTTCTTGGAGAGAGCCAGCTTCCCGTTGAGGCAATGGATTGCTTGTTCTGCCTCCTGCAGGAGAAGAAGAGGGATAAACCCCTATATTCCTGCACAGCTCTGACCTCTTGCACAGTTCACAGGCAGTGTCAGATTTGTTGTGCTTTCAAAGAGAGACAGTGACAGCCCTGAATGGATGGCAGGGGCTGTAGCCTGCGGAAGCATCAAACGTAGGGCAGTGCTTTGAACAACTGAGTAGTAGCAGACCAAAGAGAAAACAGTCAATTCACGTTCCCCTCACAACACTGCCATTATTTCTGGTTTTAGCCCCTCTGCTCCCTGCAAAAAGCACTGGATATTGGTGAGGGGGAAAGAGCCGATTCAGTTCCCAGCAAGAAGCAAATGATGCTGGGGCAAGGAAATAATGCTGCAGAAGAAAACTGTGCATTCGCCGCTCCTTCTCAGACATCCGGCAAGAGAAGCAGGGAAAGAAAAGGGAAAGACGTCCATGAACGTCTTCTGCAAGGTTACACAGAGGTCCTGCCCTGGGCAGATCCTGACCTTATTCTATGGCATCTCCATCAAGCTTTGGGAAAGGCTCTGGTGCGTAGTTCGTAGGAGGCAGCCGCTGGGCTACAGACGAAGAGCCTGACCTGAATGAACGCACCTCCCGAGTTTCAACCTACCTGCTTGGTCTCAAAGTTCACAAAGCAATAGCCTCTGGGCTGCCCCTCCAGTACCCCTGACTTGTGGAAGAGGAAGTCAAACTGCTTCACTTTGCCAAACTTCTGCAGGAGTTTGAGGAGATGGTATCTGGAAGAGGGGAGAAGGAGCTGAATAGTTCTGTTATTGCCACCCATCTCACTCCACGTTTTATAAACAGAGAGGTACAGAAGAAGAAAAAGCAGCGTGTGTTTTTGCTGGAAGGCATTTCAGGATCTCGTCAAAAAGCTGACCTCCGAAGTCTATCAGCAGGTGGCCAATGGAATAGGAAACAAGGGCCAACGCGGGGCCATTGGGAACCTTTGGAGAGTGAAGGGGAACACGCAGCTTCCCTGCCCGACTGTACCTGTTCCCGTGGGTTCCCAGCAATGTGGCCATTTTCCTGAAGTGGCTGAGAAAACTGAGAAAATTCCAGGAATTGAAGCGGTCCCCCAGAGCAGGTTGTCACAGATGCATTCCAGGAACAGGAGGGAGAGCCCGGCCAACTTGACTCACCCCGTGGCTCAAAGACTTTTTGCAAACTGATGAAGGAAAGTTCCTGCCATGACTACCTGGCAGCTAATCTTTGGCTATCATCCCACCCCAGAGACCCGAGGAAGATTCTGAGCCACGAAGACACACCGTATCGTTTTGCCTTATTTATTTCTGGAAGTCATCTCAAGATTTATTAGCTATTGTTAAAAGCATAAAAATACCCCTATTCCCTCCCCCCCAGCACTATCTTCTCTTTTTGGCAAATGTGCTTGTTTCCCTCAGGCCCAAAGGGCTGCAGCTCATCCTGTTCTCGAAACAAAAAACATCTAGCACCTTGTCTTGAGGACTCTGCCTTGATTTCCTTTGGCAACCTTGTGGTCTGTTTGGCATGGCTGCGTTCATCAGCCTGAATTTCATCAGAATTCAACATGGGGCTTTCCCTGTGGTGTCTCCGTACAGAGTAACTGAGGAAAGATGCAGCTTCCAAATCTCCATGCTTAAATCCTGGGCCAGAGGAAAGATGGGGAAGGGCTAAATTACATCAGCCTGAGTACAAGGTAATGAGCCTGTTACTCCCCAGGCTCCGTGATGGCAAGGTTCTGGTATGGGCAGTTGGCAATGTCCCTGGCATCTTTCCTGCCGACTCTGCTAAGGGCATTTCTACTGGCTGTGACTCTCTTCTGCTACAAGACAAACACGCGTGGAGTCTAAAGAAAAGAAACCACAGGGAAACTAATAGGCAGGAGTTCAAACCTTTGGCCAATATATGCTAATCCCTCCACAGCGCTGCCTGCTGTGGCACTCACTACACTCAACTCCAGGACTCTCAAGGAAAGAATGAAAAGATTATTTTTGGCAAATTTACACGCCAGGCAGTTTATCAACAAGATAGCTCTGGCTGTCATTTGAATTCCTGAAGCTACACTGGCAAACAATCTTGAAGTGGGTAAGACTTTGCATGCAACTCGCTTTATCGATAAGGAGCTGGCCATAAATTTTTGCTTTGTATTTATCTGTCTCCTCTTCTCTGCCCCCTTCTTCACTTCCAATAATGTTTACTGTTATTTACAAGGTGCTAAAAGGATTTCTGGATAATGGAAGAGCTACATTACAGACAGGGAACAGGAAGTCAGGCTGCTGAAAATTACCAGAGCTATTTTGATGGGGTACCTGGGACCACGAGCCCAAGGCAGAGGAAGGAGAGCAGGCCCCGTCCCTACTTCCTGCCATCCAAAACACAGGCAAGACAATCTGTCCAAGTCCCATTTCCTTTTCCGCCAGCTTTCCTCCTGGCACTCTAAGCGCTATTCAAATACCGAGTTGAAGGTTCCTCCAAACAATGCTCTTCTAAGGATATGGGAATGGTCCCAGCCACATGCTAAAGCCATTTACGTCCGGGAATCTGTTTGTGAGTGCTATTCCTCAGGGTGGATCTTAAAGGGAGAGACAGAGAGGTGAGGCATCTTGCCTCTATAGAGGCCACACTCGCTTCCCTTAAGGTTGCAGTGCAAAACAGTTTTTGTCACATAAGAACAGAATTCTCAGCTGGAGGACAGATAAATGAACGCAAGCAAACTGAAACTGACAAAAACAACAGTGGGCCAGAATGCACTGCAGAATGCACGAAAGTACAGTACTAGGGGATGTAAACTCTGCTGTGGCATAAAATGTAAATTAAGTGCGTTCAGTGACTCTGGTTGGGGGACCTCAAAGGGTTTATCAGCTTTGTAGTATTTTGCGGAACCTAAACTCTAAGCCAGGGCAGCGATCAACAGGATGCCTATTTTTGGCAGAGCGCAGAATCTCAGATTCCCAAGTGCAGATGCTTTTAACTTCCCCAAACTTCCCCAAACAAATCCTGCTCAAAAGGCTCCGGCAGCCTGTCAGCTGAGCAGCAGCCACAATTACTCAACCCCGAGAAGCTGCAGCAATACAAACACTGGGCCGAAAAATGGCAATTAATGCAAAACAGAGAAGAGGCCAGTTAGCGCCGCCGCACTGAATGAATCTCGTGAAGAGGGCATTAATGATGAACTCCACTTAGAGGCACGATTAGGACGCTGCCCAGCTGAAAGGAGCAGCACTTGGAACAAAAAACGCCAAGCACTTGCCGAAACAGAAGGAGCCGGGCAAAAATTGCTCCCACAGCTGAGAGGCCCGCAATATCGGGGGATAAAACGCGCAGCCACTT